CCTATGGTTTCTTGTACAATTTTGTTAGCTATTCATTTAGAGATTCACCATTGTGATTAGGTGGCTTCTCTCATTTCCACGGGTAGTGAGTGATGACAATTATTACTATAAGTTTCCCTGACAAGAATTGCATCTAGGATGTGGGCAGCTGGTTCTATATCCTCTTGTGCTTTTTTTTTTTTCATTGAAATGACTATAGGATGTCTTAAATTAAAATTTCTAATAAGGTTTAAGGAGCATTGAACTGGAATAATATGAAACAAGAAGGCATGTCCACTAGGGACAATTTGTTGTCCCTCTTATATTCATAGACTGGGGAGTGGCAACTAAGGAATGACTGAGACACCGGGACAGAACACTTAGCATCTATAATTTTCTCTTGCCACCAACAATCTCAGTATAGATATTGTTGGTAGCAAGGGGAAATTATAGATATCTTCTTGTCGGTAACATTATCTGTTTTGATATTGTTCAACAAAATAGAGATAAGCACAGCTACAAAAGTAGGTAGAAAAATTCAGATTTTTTTTCTACACAATTTGGATGGCTTTGATGAACGTGAAAGGGTTATTTGATAGCTGTAAAGATATTCTCTTGATTTTGTTTCATATGTTTTAAAATTTAAAGCTTAGTTGACTCCTTCGTGTGTATTGAGAAGAGGAATATGGAATAGCAGAAGGCTGTCTTGCTTCTAATGGGATTTTGTAGCAGCATGTGTGAGTTTGTTTCAGAAGTCAGAAATGAACAGATGTTGGTATAAATTACCTCTGTGTCTGATGTCTTGCAAATTAAAAGCGCGGTTGGCATCACTAAACAATTTCACCAGGTGGGGGGGAGGATGAGCGAGTGGTGATTATTGTAGCAGGTCGGGTAAGAATCTTTAAGCTGCAGCAGAGCAGGATAGCAAGGATAAAGGAATGAAGAATAAAATGAGAGGTCTGTGAATTAATCAGAAATGTTAACATCTCCGATGACAAGTGAACAGGAGGGCACGTGTTCTGGAGTAGCCCCCAACTCACAGTAATTTTAGTTGGGTGCAGAGCTAGTCAATGCTTGCAGCTTGATTTATAAGGTGCAGCCCTCTTCAGGGGCGCGTAGTTGTCACACATTCGTATATCTCCTATATGGGACTGGTGCTCTGAAAAACTTCCATTCCATCAGCAGATAATGCTTCAGGTTGACATTACTTGAGCAAAACAGGGTGTGGGATTTAATTTAAACTTATTTTTTTTATTTTCAGATTTCCTGAGTGTGTTTAAACTTAGCTTGTTCTTCCTTTACAGAAAGAAAAAAACATGATTATAGAACATGAGCATCTTCTACATTTCTCTGCAACCCTCAGAAGATTTGGCCCAGTTTTAAACTAATTATTTCAATTGCCAGTTTCTCCCATCATAGCAAATTTAGTCATATCCTGTTCATGTTTTGAAGAGTTATTCTAATGCACAGATAGTTGTGACACTGGTTGGGTATGTGAGAAAGATATCAGTATAAATTGATAGTATTGAGAAATAATGTCCTAAATATTTGTAAGACTTGGAATCAGACCAGCATGCTTCACCAATTATCAAATAAGGTTCTACTGCTTCGGTTCTATGCTATATAAAAACAATCATGTCATGCTTATGAGCATTTGGTTCCAATTCTTTGAAATAGACCCCCACCAGCATTACATTTGGAATGGGATGACTTATTTTTTAAAAATACTAAAAAAAAATAATTTTTGTGGCCCCTTGTAAGTTGTGTAAAAAAAAAGTTTTTAACTATTTGTTTGAATGTATGGAAGTTAATCATAGACCTTCTAATTTTGAGCCTTATAATTGATTGTAATATTTTAATAAATCAATAGTTTTTTGTATGTCAATATATTATTTATAATCATATGATAAATAAAACTGTACAGTACTCATCTGCATGGAATTCAGAGACACCAGATTTTCATCGTTATTTCAACTGTATGCTTTCTGTGATACGACTGAAAGTGATACACTCAGAATCTACTGCTGGTAATTCTGAACATTTTTTGATAGTTGGTTCCCACAAAATGAATATGAATCTCTTAAACTTTAAGTAGACTTAAATATGGATTCTTTTGTACTTCTACAAGAATAATCAAAATCATATATGTCACAAACATCTAGAAGACAGAGCCTAATTCTTAATCCTCCAAGCAAAATTCTTCTAGTTCATCTGGATTTGAGTTTTGAAATGGGATCAAAGCCATTTTTTAAGATTCCTATCCATATGTGTGCGTGAAAGAAGAGAAATATAGTGATGCTTAATTTATGTATGAACATATTAAATTCCTATCTCCTATTACAGAGTATTTTTTACTAACTGAATTTGCTTTTTAAGTTCCAATTTTTTTCAAAATGTTAGCCAAAATGTTTGCTTATCAAGCTTTATAGCAAACCAGACACACTTAATAATACTGTTGTCTTTGGCCATCAGTCTGATTCTCCAAGATGTTTACATTCTTTAGATTTTAACAAGAATGCATACTCAAGATGATATAACACAAGCTTGGATTGGACATAATGCAGCAAATCTGTGATCTAGGATTACATGCATGATCCTTGTACTCATCAGCTCTCTAAACCTCTCTTTAAATGAAATTCTTTCATTTTCTGAAAATGCTGTTGGGTCTTTGAAAACAAAGATATGTTAACAGTATGTCAGCTTCGTATTAATTTATGTTGCCTAACCCTGTAATAAACCATATTTTGACATTTGGTTTGCAAAGAAAGGGTAATTTCCCATTCATTTAAGTAAGTAAGGTGTGGCACATCTTTCTCTCCCCACATTCAGTTCGATTGCCAATACTTATATCTCAAGGTAGGAGAATCCATAATGACTTAAAATGCAAGCACATATACCAGTGCTGGCCCACAGATCTTTCTTTTGCCCAGAGAGAGAGAGAAAAAGTTAAGTGTTTTTAGAATATTAGCCTTTGGAAAGGAGGGAGTTTTGACCAAGCAAAATCAGTAAGATATTATCCAGCTCCTCTACTCTTATTTAAAAAGCCTTGGTCTTCATGCAAAAGGGAGGAAAAGAGATAGTTGGGAGATGTGAAAGAAAGCAGTTAACCTGGGAAGGGACCAAGGAGAAAGAATACTTGAAGAAATATCATTGAAAATTTAAGGAACCTAGAACCTGGAAGCCGCTTCCTGAATTAGTTTCCAAAAGAATCAGAAATGAGCAAGAGCAAAGGAGGGGAGAGAAGGTGCCACCCACTTCTGTGATGATTTAATTTGCTGCAGAATGCATATGTCCTGTATGACAAATTGCATTGTTTCCATTGTAAATCACGTAATTTGAATCATAATAAATGAATGCTACCATTCCTTTTTTTATGGACAAACTTTTATGGACCTTCAACCTGATTGCAATAACTACCTAGTACCATAAACGTCTTGGAAGAGAGTGCTAGCTTGAAGCTTCATAGGATAGCTTCACAAGCAACATTCAAAATAAGATCTCCGATCCACAAACTACCTTAGAATAACAGAGCTGGAAGGGACCTTGGAGGTCTTCTAATCCAACCCCCTGCTTAGGCAGGAAACCTTACACCACTTCAGACAAATGGTTATCCAACATCTTCTTAAAAATTTCCAGTGTTGGAGCATTCACAACCTCTGGAGGCAAGTTGTTCCACTGATTAATTGTTCTTCTAACTGTCAGGAAATTTCTCCTTAGTTCTAAGTTCTTCAATCCTTGATTAGTTTCCACCCATTGCTTCTTGTCCTGCCCTCAGGTGCTTTTGCAAGCCAACATATTGTTGCTTGCGTCCTACCAACTAGAAGTTACATATAAAACCAGTCCTGGATGTTTTACTTGCCAATTAATAAAGTTCTTGAAGTCATTAAGAAACAATGCTTTGATGTCATTGAAGGTAACATGAAAGACCTATATAGCTACAGTAAGACCATAGTCTAAGATCATGTTCCCCAAATAATAATAATGAGCTGCTCATGAAAAGTCCACAAGCAAGAGATGAATGTCATCATCCTATACTTAATTATCCAAATTAAGTGACTAAAACAACTATTTCATGTTTTGTATCTGGGAACTCATTTAAGTAGCTATAAAAGCTAACCATCACCCTTAGCAATGGCTAGCCAGCTCCTTTTCACCAGAGATCTCCATAAATTGAATTCTTCAGACTTTTGGCATAGTAGTAATCCTAATATAAAATAAATCAAATCACTATCTGAATGTGGAGATGGTAAGGAAGAAAAAGAGCAGAAGTGTTTTCTCTCAAATCAAAGGAGCATTTTTTTAATACACGAGTAATAAAATCATGGAATTCACAAATCATATTTTTTACAGGAAAGTACTATAGCTAGATACTGGTAAAACTCTGTAGTGCTTTTAATGGAGATTGATAATATGGACAAGCATATATACTTTGCCTTGCTGGAAATGACAGTACAATGTGAGGCTAAAGTAGATGAAAGCTATAAACTCTACTTTAATACACCATACATAGATGTACTACTTTGAGAAAATTTGAAACTCATTATGGTATAACATGTAGGGGCTATCAATATGGGAGAACAGAAATGCTGTCTCATTTATGTTTAAGATCATAAGTACACGGGGACAAGTAATCTTGAAATAGAGGGAGACTGAGGGGGGTTGTGGGGTTATACTTGCAGAAGGAGATGCCCTAAGAAGAAGCAATGGCATTCTAGATTATACTGTCTGTAGATAAATATAGTAGAAAAATCGAAACAGAGCTCTTCAGAATAACTACTATGAAAATAAAGTAAGTGGTTATAAGATAAAATGAGACAGTTTATGGACATTACAGCTGAGTTTTGATATTTTCAGTGTTTGGCTGATATTTCTAGACTTTGGAAGAGCTAAAGTGTGATATTTGTTTTATGTGAAATATTTTTATCCTGTTTTTAATCATTTAAATTAATTCTATAAGTGGAAATTATTGGAAATTATCCAGTTCTGATGCTATACTGTTTTGTCTTTCTTTGTGATTTCAGCCAGAGAAATGACTAGAGGAAAATTCTTGAACATCCTGGAGAAACCCAAAAAGTAACTGAATGTGTACTACACTTTAAAAAAAGCAGCAGCGCCTTGTTATTTCAGAACTTCTACAATTGTCCATATAAGCTGAAACGAAAGGACCAAACGTACCGAAATGTTCATTGTTTCACCTTTCTTTTGAGGGTAACTGTTCTGGACTACTTCAGCATTGGCCAGCATCAGTTCTCTTAACCTCCTGGCTGCAGCTGATCCTGCCCTATTTACCTTAATGAAAAGAAAAGGACTCGTTTTCTCATGGTTGTTGCACACAACTATAACAATATGCATCTTGTGATAATACCCTTGCCCCCCAGAGCAGTACACAACATGGCACTTCTGTATGTATGTCCATCCCACATCATTACAAGACAAGCACTTTATGGACAAATGCATAATTTGAGATGAAAACTGACTGGTGTTCTTTAATATAGATAATCCTAATTTTATAATTGTAGAAGTTAGCAATTTATATTGATTTTTTTTTAGGTACAAAGGCTGCAGAAAAAAATAAGGATTGTATCATTCTTGCATGTTCGTGTAATTTTAGATATAGGATGGGATAGGAGGTTACATTCCATCAAATTTCTGTTTGGTTGGTTTTAAGCTACCTAAATGTGACTGCAGTGGAAGTGTGAAGAAAAAATTAAAGAAGATAATAAGAGGGGGAAGAACACTTATATGAAGAAAACATGTGTCCTGTGCTCAGGATAATCATTTACTCTTTAATTCAGCTTCAGATCTCTTAAAATATGTCTAAAGGCAAAATAAATTATCTGTCATATCAGAATTTTCCCAAAAGCAAATATCTTTTTAGGCTACCCATTTTGTATTATATTCATAGCTCTAGGAAAGATACCTTCAAATTGGATTTCTCTTTCGGGTATACATAAAATAAGTTTTGTACAGTATATAGAAGTAACAAATTCTATATTGAAAAGCCATAGTTTCTCATTGAGTCTCCTTCTCCAGAAATACTTTTAAAATAGCTGGCTGGCAAGACACCAAGTCAAAATATTTTCCTTGCATTGGTTTCTCTACAATAAAGCACTGAGTAGAGTTTCCCTGAACCTGGTACTTAGATTTGTGAGGTATGGTGACTTGGAAATATTGGAGTTGAAAGTGTCAAATTAGGGAAAGTTGCGCCACTTACATTTGGGGAATTACCAAGCTAAAGTTAAGCACTTTTACATCCCATTAAAGTGATGTTACAGTATCTCCCCCATTGTGAAATAAGCAGAATTAAGAAAGGCCTAATTTTGGATTTGGGCCTGCAAATGTTTTAATAATAATCTTTTTTCTCTGTGTGAAAAACAAGAATTTAATATTGGGTTGTATATCAAAAGTTTGATTTTTTTAAAAAAAGTTGACATCCCAACAAATCTTTGAAGTTTTCAATGTACAACTGTACACTGTTCAATTTACTGTAGTGGTGATGCAACTTTGGAAATGTAAGAATGCAATATAAACAAGAAAATAGTATGCAATTTAATACATACTGTAAATGATGGCCATTTTCGGTGTTCTGGTAGTTTGTAAATTACATGAGTAAGATATTTCTCATGTACAGCAAATCAGCCATATTTCGATTTTAAGTTATATATACTGCATTTTTCTAGAACAGAGGTTCTAGATTAGAACATTTTAATCACATACCGTACATCAAATGGCAATTCACAAAGTTTGCTCTGTCAGGACATTATATTTGCAGGCCTGAGTTTCAGATGCGAAAATATTAAATCCATGCCAATGATGGCAAAACTATAAATGATCAACAGCTAGCAAAAAAATATTAAGAGCAGGAAAAATGTGCTTACTTGCTCAGACAAAAAGTTTGCTTTTCAACAGTAAACTAATATTTATATTTCTGTTTAAGAATACTGAAATTGTTACATTTTTTGTTTGTGGGTTTTAATATATAGTAACTCAAAGTTGAGCATTTTGAAATATCCTAATGATTGAAGGATGGGGGAGAGGTAGATTTTAAATCTCATATTAAAAACAAAGTGGTTGACTTCTCCTGTATTATAATCTGTCCAAAATATATTTGGAGCCTTGGTTATGGACAACTTACAGATAAGATCCCTACTGCCAGGATCTGATTAGTTAACCCCTTTTACATTTGAAAACATTTCTTTTTATTCTAGAAATTTGTAATTCTGAACATATACCAAATTATTGGTATATGCTTTAAGTAGAGATATTTATATTTTTAATGAATAGATATGTTAAATATTTAGTAAAAATGCCCATCAGTATGTTACAATTTTGTGCTTTTGATAGTAAATAAAAAGTTACATTTTTAAAACATTCCTGTGAAATCTAGATTTCTTAGATAAATCCTAGACTGACATTATGCATATTTATGTGTTCAGAATTTCTGTTGGATTTGATGGGAGTTATTTTTATCTGATTATTAATAGGAAACCTTGCTGGTTTGTGTAAGTTTTGCTACAGACAGGTTAAGCATCTTCATTCTTTTAACAGAAAAAATATAATCATCTCAAAAAGCTGTTTACTAACATTTTTATTTGCATTTGAGGTACGTTAAATATATTTTATGGTTCAATATTTTTTAAAAAGAATAAAGCTTTGAAAGCAGAAATTAAAAAAGAATAAAACTCAATCCTACTGAAATTTGAACAGTTTCCACAAACAACTGTATTTTTTACTTTTTGGCTTACTTTTTTACTTTTTGCACACTTCCTTCTGATTTAACTCCAGTAACTCAGTATCCTTAGTTCAGGTAAGTATTTGTAAGTGAAACTGCAAAGAGAGGTATTATGAAGTAAAATAAAATTATTTTAACTTTAAACTTCAACTAGTCCTTATGAATAATCAAAAAATATTTTCAGAGTAGTGTCTCCACAACATAGGAAAAGATACAATTCAAAGTACAGTAAATAAATATCACCTGAGTTGAGACTTGAAATAAAAAAATTAGCTACTTCATAGAAAGTATTTCTTCTCTTCAAATCTGTAGTATATCATTTCATATCCTCTATAGTTCTTGGATGCTTGCATTTAGCTCCAAACTTTTTTATTTTGCATCTTAACATTCAGATGGATTTTATACTTAATTGATTGCTTTCATAATCCTCAAAATAATTCATTTATTTCAATTGAGCCTTTAAAAAAAATCATTTTTTTTAAACTGACAATCATTTAGGGTATTTAAATAGTTGTACAAGGAATTCTCCTTCGGGATAACTTCCGTTCCCATGGCCTACAATGAAAATATAGCTTTGTTATATCACATGGAAAAGGGGGAAATATCTTATTAATTAGCAATTAATTCACTCTAATTTTAAATATTCAGTAATCATATTTGCAAAGTATCACCAAAGGACAAAGTTAATTGAAAGCTTTGCTTCGCATTTCCATTCTTTAACAAGCTTAGAGAATAAGAGATGTGTGACAAAAGAAATGTATTGCCTTCAAATATGTCCTGTTTATCCACATAAATTTTAGTAGCATGTGATGTTGGTAATCACTGTGTTAAGAGCTGAAAATACAGAACATGGCAGACATTTGTCTCAAAGTTTTTAGTAGGTCTTCTCTTTCTCTCAGCTGATCCCAAAGAAAAC